GATGTTTTATTGTCTTTTACACAAGGAGGATACATTAACCATCGACTTAATCAGTCCCAGACAATGGCAAACCCCATCCATACCCCGCAGCTAAACCCTAATGCAGACATCTTCAGTCCTGTTAGAAGTCACATCCCAGATATGAATGTCAGCAATAGGTGTGATCTAGTAAGAAGGAAGCCACAGGAATTCGATTGGAAGGCACCGTGGGAAGCATATAGAGCACAATTTGAGCTCCTGGCAGAGATGAATGGATGGACAGGGGAACAGAAAGCAGTATGCCTTAGACAGTCCACAACTGAAGATACAAGTAAAGCAAGCACACTCCTTTACTATACATGATGCAATGGCCAGAGCTCTTGAATTTGAATCAGCACAGAGGTACCAAAGTTGGTACAGTCATCAGGACTCAAGGCCAGAAAGGCAGCTTTCAGAGAAGTTTGAGGGACTTTCCTGGCACTGTAACAAACCTAGGCAAAAGAGAGTGCAATGCCGGCAACTTCAACACAGGGACGATGCCAAGGCAGGAAAGGCTGCTACCCAGAAGGGTTGTTGGAACTGTGTAGAGCAAGGACATATGAGGAGCCAGTGTAAGAAGAATACTACCAATAAGTCAACCTCCAGGAAACTAGTAGTGGTTGGTGTTGATGGATGCATACCAACCCCATCGTGAAAGTCACAACAGCTAAGTGTAAAATGCTAAATATACATAGTGTCTACGTGACAGGAAAGCTGGATGGCCAAAGGTGTAACTTTGTCATAGATTCTGCAAACCCTTGTGAGTATCAAGATATTAGATCACAAAGGAGTACCAGAAGCTGTACAGAAGCTCTGTGGTGTGACAGGACATTATGCAAGGTTGTGGGGACCAGAGTGGGTAACTATTGAGCACATGGGCATGAAGAATAGACAGAAAGTATACTTGGCCTACATTGAAGACCAATGTATATAAGGTTTGGACTATTTAATAAGTGTGTAATTACGTTTGATAAAATGACGTTTGAGAACAACAAAGGCCAAATTCCGGTAAGTGTTAAAAGAGGGGTTGGACTAACCAGGTGACATCAATCTAAATTCAAAGTGACTGAAAGAGTTGATGATAGTGAAGTGAAACCAAATATATATATTAAAGCAGAACAGGAGAAAGACCAAGATTTGAAGCCAATAATTGATTTTCTAAAAGCAAGTGTTTTGCGTCCTGCTTGGGAGAAGGTGTCTAGCTTAAT